TCTACTTTGGAAGGTTTACATATATACCACTTAATTCTTTTGGATGCACTGTTTACAAACCCTGGTTTTTATACACACATGCCATATGTTTCTTATGTATTTACATATCTAGGACCGACGCATTCACATTTACATGCATGCAACTCAAATCTTTAACACCTCACATAAAAAATACTGCCATTGTTATCATTTTTGCAGGTGAAATACATCTTTTCATGCAAAGGTTTGTGTTGTGAGTGTACATATCAAAGTTTGGGTTTTAGATATGATAATAGATAAGAATTGAGTGGTATGTATATAATTTTTTATTGGGCTTTAATGGGACTTTTGGTGGTTTGTTTGGCTGCAATTTGGGAGGCCTTTGCCCACTGTTTGGGCCACGGTTTGGAAGTTTTAAATGCTATCTTTGTGGGCTAAGCAGCTGCAGTTTTTTTCGGTCTTTTGCAGCTCATATGGGCCACGGTTTGGAAGTTTTAAATGCTATTTTTGTGGGCTATATGACTACAGTTTTTTGGGTCTTTCTGTAGCTTATATGGGCCACGGTTTGGAAGTTTTAAATGCTATTTTTGTGGGCCATATGGCTGCAGTTTTTGTCTTTTTGTAGCTTATATGGGCCATTGTTTGGAAGTTTAAATGATTTTTTAGTGGGCTATATGGCTGCAGTCTTTAGGGTCTTTGTAGCTTATGTTTGCCACGATTTTGGGCAATTTTGAGATCACTTTGTGGCTTGTATGGATGCAGTTTTGAGAAGTCTTTAAGCATTAATCTTGGGCTACGGTTTGGCTTCATTTTGGTGGAGGTTTTTCAGTAGGTTGTAGAACATTTTAGAGGCTATTTTGGACATGGTTTTGGGATTGACTCATGACTTATTTGAATACAAATTTTGGGGTTTTTTTCTTGGCTCAATCGGCTGCAATTTTGGAGCTACCTCAAACACGTACTATTTTGGAGAGTTCGAAGTATGTTTGAGGGCCCTTGTTTGCTATTTTAGAATGTGAGAACGCCATTTGTGGGAGGGTTAAATTGTTGTTTCTTTTTTGGGAAAATTATGAAATTTCAAAGGTTTGGATTTACGATAGTTTGGGGAGCTTCTAGGATCATGATTTTTGGGGAATTTTAAATGAGCCTTTCAAATGCACATCGTTGGATGTGGGGATTTATTTTAGATTCAGTTTTGAATGTGGCTTTGAGGGTAGATCCATCCTTTATTATTTTCGTATTTCAAATGGATCAATCCCTCCTCTTTCTCATCCCATTTTTTCTTTTTTTGCTTCTTGGTTTGGTTTAGGTTGTCCGAAGCATAAGCACACATATATAACTCCCGTTATATATGAACTATCAAACAAGACTGTAAGTAGATCGGTTTCGGGGTTCAAGGACGATGATGAAAAATGCATCTAGGTATGTGTGAGAGGTTCTAGCACAATCCTGACTCAATGACTTTGAGAGAATGAGGGATTGACATTACCGCATTTCTAACATTTAGTAAAGAGTTACCACTCGCTTTTACAGGCAGTAAGAAATTTCAGACTACCAATATGACTGACTCATTAACTTTATAAAACATGAAAATTTCTTTAAGTGATATATATGTACACACATAATTAACTAAAAAAAATCTTTCAAGTGCGTGACAAATCAAAATTTCTTTTGAAAAATGAAATCCTTCCTAAATATTTTCTGAAAATTTCACGGACTAGTCATATGAACTAGGTTAGGGGCCGTCAACCTTTTACGTAGTGTTGCATCACACATGCATGGTGTTGACTATTTTGTTAGGGCGCCAGGGTCTTGTTTTTGACCCAAGGTCCTGATTCTGAGTCCACCCCGTCCCGAGTGCTTACGCTTTTCTTTGGTGTGCCGTGCATTTTCTACGATTTTCTTTGAGCTTTCATGGGTCACTTCTAGTTTTTCTTTGAGTTTTCCGTGAGATGCTTTGCCGATAGACTTTTACACACATATACATGCATGTTTACCTTGCTAATCAAATCCTCTTCTATACTTGTTTACTTCTAGCTGCAATGTTAATCCCATTCACAGGAGCAGCAGACCTGCCATGTACACAAATTTATTTTATATTTATAACATTTTATTTTCTTTATTGCGCACTTTACTGCATTTCTTTACTGTACACTTACTGCGTTTTCTTTACTGCTGCTTTTCTTACTGCATTTTTTTTACTGTTTTCCTTTATTGCACCTCCTACTCTTTTCTTTATGTATTATACCTTTTAGAATAAGAGGACGGTAGTTTGATTTTATAGGAGTTGACCATTAGCAGATCACCGACTCAACATGTACATTTAAACATAAACTAAATCTGAAATTGCTACGATGTGGAGCTTGAAGCTAACAAGGTGGGCAGCATGACGATGATGTACAAAAAAACAACTTAAACAGATCTAGAACAACAAATCGGTCTACAACAACAAACCTTTCCTTAGAATTAAATAGTAAGCCATAGGATTTTGAGGTATCTCATCTAGCACGACATAAATCCTTAACTTATTTACTTTGCACAACAATGTTGTGTTATTTAAGCCCTAACTCACTTTAGGTTCTGAGATTGTCATCTGATACGAAGTAAACTCTCATATCTTTCAGGCTATTTGTATGACCGTGTCACACAAATATAAGTGTTAAATAATAAAATTGACAGGATGAAACATCATGTAACATTTTTCAAAATTAAAGCCAAACAATAAGATAGTATGGGAAGTCACCGAGATTCCTCTCAGGATCTGTGACATTCCCTACTTTTATTTCCTTTGATTCCAGAAATAAATGTTCCCATTTGGTTCCTTTTCTTACTTGACTTTTATATGTCCAACCTTGAAAACCCTAAACTTTGAATTCATGAAGATTGATATCTCTGATCATCATCGAGAGTTCTCTTATGTGACTTCAGTCATTTGAGAGGTAATTAACTATAGGGGCTTGCCTCTATAGGAAGCTTTAAGAACCCAGTTAATATAAACTCTATCTAATTTTTAATATTAGGTAGGTGAATTTGTCGGCCAACATAAAGGTTTGCAGACTAAAACGGATATCATAAATTCTTTTGTTTATTTAATCGAGCCTTACGGATAAGTGATATGTCTATTTCTTGGGATAGGTATGTCACTTATAGTGTTGTGCTCGTTTATTTAAACTATCGTCTATATGAGATCGGTTCGGTCTTGTATTTTCAAAATTAAACAATTACATTTCAAAACTATATATACTATATTATATTAAAGCAAATATCTCTTTCCCAATTTAAGGACCGACAACAGGTGTATAAAAAAACTTCCACATCATAAATATTGGAAGCCCGCACGTGCTCCAATCATTGTGCTTAAAATATGGCCATTTGTCGTAAGGAAAAGCTAGTCATATGCAACATTAAAAAGAGAGAAATTACAAGCTAAGAATACTATCACATATGAAGAGATGACTTCTAGATAATCAGGCCTTCATTCTTCTCTTTACATAATCCCTTGCCATCATTCAAAACAACTGAACTGAAGTAAACTGAAGGATTCAAAACTTACTTCCTTTCTTTTTTATCAGCAACTGCACACTCTAGATAATTGCAAAGGTTTGAATGCATATCGAAGAGATTGCTACATTTGCGACCTCCACTCGACCTAACACAAATAATGGAATATTTCTCTGATACAACATCAAAATAAGCTTCCCAAAACAAAGACAATTCGAAGCAACACTCTCCAAGCATTATTTATAGAAGCTTCATTTTTGTTAAGTCACTCGTTATATCTCTCAATCCAAAACTATGAGTGGATTCCCACATTATTATCTTGTGAGTGATCATGAGTGAAAATAAATAAAGTAGACATGTAGATTAAAATTTGCCATAAATATGTATTTTTTGGAGTCTTTTCTAGAAACAATAAATTTGGGGGAACTTTATGTTCATATTAAAATATTAGAATAAATTTATTTGGGTCGTCTAATTATAAAACCAAGTTTTTTGCGTCCTTGATCTCCATGGCACAAATGCAGGATGCTGCGAAGATACTTTCAAAACTTATCCATTAGATCTTTTTATGATTGTGAAGGACTCTTACTATCATAAAAAAAAATTATAGATCTTGAGATGTAAACTACTATTTGATGGTTCAACACATACCACTTCCAACACCAATCTTCGAGTCATTTATGGTTTGAGTTCACTCATCTGCCATTCCGACCTTCATGTTTAAGGGCTCCGTCATCCATCCTTCTCCTTAAGGGGTATATTAATCTGATATGGATTTCAGAGGCAAGATGCCCGACTCCTTAATAATTTGATTGACAATACAAAAACTAGATACCTTTTTCTTTGGGGGCATTTTTGTTTAGCATAGATATCAAAGTTGATATATATCTCCATTCATTTTTTTTTGTACCCATAAAAAGTTTTAAAATACCCTTCCTTCACCTCTATAAGCTCCCCCTTTTATGTGTTGGTAAAGAATACCTAAAACTCTCCCCCAAAAAGAAGGGTGACTCCCCATTATGCTCTTCCTCTTTTTCCTAAGGTGAAATTGTGCTGAGTCATATTCAACTCTTATTCCTCTTCTTACTTAGTCATTGACTTGAGTTTTAGAGGATCTTCCTTGGAAAATCCCCTGGTTGACCTATTGACCTTTTAGTTTCCTATGTGTAAGTGTAAGACATAATATTTAGCTTAAGGCAGCTTATTAACTTAAATTCATTTGACACTCGAAGATTGGCTTTCAGCATAACAATAATATTTGTTGATTTTATAGTGCATTTTTTTTATATTCATTTTGGGGATCTATACAACAATTTTTTGGTTGGTTTTTTTGCTATTAAGAATTTGTAATGATTAATATATTTTTGGCCCTGAGCTCTTAGATACACCTGCCCATTCTTTATTCCAACAGTTGTATTTACTTTTTATGGATGGTGCCATGTTTTTATTCAAGTACTAATTGGGCTGGCCTAATCATCTTATTTTGGTGATTCTCTTAATGATGTTCTTGATTGCTGTAGAAAGAAGTTATATATGGTTTAACTGAGATTTGGAGAGAGAAAATTCAGAGTGCTCGACTGGTTGCCAATCCTGGCTGCTATCCAACATCCATACAACTTCCTCTAGTTCCATTGATGAAGGTTTGACTTCTTTAGCCATATTTCATGGCGTTTATAAACTTCTTAGCAGGCTGTTGCAAACCTCACACAGGAAATCTATTCAATTGTTTTTTATGATTATTTGTGATTTACTTTTTTAGGTATCTCATATATTTTATTATGTTTTTTCTTGCTTTCCCTTCTAGAGCTAAAAGTCATATTTAAAATATGATAGACTGAAAGAACATTTTTGGAGTTGTATATTTTTCATGTAAATTTTGAATTTTACTTTTTGATATTTGATTAGCTTTAAAAGAACTATTAAAGCTAACATGCTCTTACACTATCTTATAATTTTGATGGTTATTTTGTTGCAACACTACTTTTGGCAGTTGAACATAAATAATTGATCTACTTGTGATGTTTTGTGAGTTACTGCTGGTTACTTTTGTTAGACAAATTTTATTTTTTCATCCACATTGCCCATTTTGGTTCCCCTCATCCATGTTTAAGAAAACTAGCACATTTCCTCTGTGATAGCAAGGGGTGCATAATGAGTGCATTGGCTATTACCAATGTGTGAGAACATAATGAGTGCATTACTTGAGTGTGAATTTGTTTGATATGGTAAAAAAATAAATCATGGAATATAGTTAGGGGTTGTTTTATTGCATGTATTCCAAATTCAAAGTAAAAAAAAAAAGCCCAGTTATTTTGAATTTAGTGTTCATATTTGATTGAATGTTATTCTAAATGGAACATATTTTTTTTCTGTTTATTTTGATGAAATTCAAAAGCACAATTAAAAAAAAAAGCCTCAGTGATAGGGTTGCATTTGTTGGGGGATGAGGGGAGGTTGATGCCCGTTGGTGATGAGGGTAGAGCACCACGTGTGAACTTTGCGTGAGTGCTCTAAGTGGAGGTACATGGTCATGAGGACTGCATGTTTAAGGGGCTCGAAGTAGAAGACAGTCACGGGATGGTGGAGGTTGGAGTTGTATGCTAGGGCTCTAGCTAAGTTTAAAGGTGGAGTTGTGAGGCGTTGAAGGCATGAGGGCTTTGAGCGAGGTCTTATTTGAGTGTGGTTGGGTGATGTCACAAGCCTCCAACATCATGCAAGATGTTGTATTTTGAAGTTTCTTGATTTAGGCAAATTTGGAATATATTGAAATTGAACTAGATGGTATATTCTAAATTATTTAATATTTTTTATTTCTCTTACTCTAAACCAATCAACTAAAAATTAAAGCCTCTACTTTCCTTTTACCTTACACTTTACACTCAAATTTTCTTAAAAAATCCCTTACATAAATCTGTGAAGTAGGAAAAAGCATAGGCACCAACACGGAAGTTATCAGCTGCCTCACTTAGAATTTCGAACTTATTATTTTCAGTTCTCAAATTTTTGGAATTGTCATTATTTTTTTTTTATAATTGCCACAAAGAATGATGAAGGTACATAACATAGACATTTGCTTGGTGATCACGATAAAGTAAGCTTTGAGAGGGCTACATCTTGATCTCTGGAGGGGTATTTTTGGAAGATTGCTGATTGATTTTAGAGATGGGAGGGTGTCATGGGAGATGGGAGGAAGTTAAAGGAGTCAGGAGGCATGGCACACAGCTTAGAAAATATTGCTTGCCACAGCAACTCAAGTTTGAAAGGGGAAAGAGATCATGCTTGGATTGCTGGTGAAATCTAGTTGAATTATACCGACAATGCTAATTGGAAACGCTTGAATGCGATTTGAAGAGAGGGATGAGGCTATTTATGCTCAGGCAATCAATAATTTTTTTTGGAAAGGAAGTAAGAAATTAATTATTTGTATTATCATTATGAAAGTGAGCTTTTTAGTAGCCACTGCAATAAGCAGCCATTGGGTGAGCAGCATCAACTATGGTTTTTATCAATTATTAAACAATAAACAAAATTAGAATTCAACTATTTGGAGATTGTGAATATGTAGTAGTCGCCAACGGAGTTAATGAAGGTGCACTAAAAACTTGTTTCACTGGTTGTGTTAGCCTAGGGAAGTAATTCGAAAACCAAAATAATCATTACTCTCATCTCTATGAATAGGTAACTCTTGCATAAAAGGTATCTAGTAAAAATTCCAACTTATATGGCACTAAAGCTTGCATCCTAATAATTCTACTTATAACAAAGGATATTCGGCCTTGTATCTAGCAATGCTATAGTTAATTTTTTTACTTAGGGTGCGTATTAGAAGTGTAAAACCTAAAGAAATTGACCAGGGCATCCATTCATGATGTACTTTGTAGTATAGTATGATGCAAAACAAATAATATCATCGCTTTAGATGCCATTCTCTTGAATGAGAGGGTTGCTTAGGGCAGGTGCATGACCTATATTTACATCATCATCATCATCATCATTATCATTATCATCTTTGTCTATGAGATCAACTTTTCTTGATTTATTTTTATTGAGCTTTGCATGAAGTGTTAACAATATTTTATACATTATTTCAAACAATTTCTAATCATGTTTCCTTTGAGCTCTAGTTTATTCTTCTTAATCTTTTCATGATAATTATTTTTTAGATTAAATGCCAAAATAGTTTATTGATTATTCCTTTGCAGCTAACTTGGGGTATAAAAAATTGACCCGACACGCAAATTCGATCCACTCAACGCAAAAATTTGGGGCTGGGCTGACCCGAATAATTTTTGTGTAGGGCTTGCATTAGGACTCTGTTGACCTCAATTTCAGTGAGGTCTAGTCTTCCTCTTAGGGTTTATGATCTAGCTTTAGGGATCTCCCTTCGACTATCTTAGAACCTTAGAAATGGGACCCGCCTCATTTTAGAAATTGAACCTACTTTTGTACCATTTTGGACTTTCGCGTGTGTGGTATCGACTTCTAGCACTTAGAAGGGTGAAACCAACATGAGGAAACCCAAAAGGAATTCCTATAAGACCTTTTGAGCCTTAGGGTGGCCTTTTGCACAATTCGCACTCCCGTGCGCACAAACTTCGCAATTCGGAGAGTCGATGCGTCCGATTGCTACAATTCACATCGCTTGCACCGTTACCTGTCGAAGACTCGAATAAACTTGTTGAGGCGATCGATCGCGGGTCAAAATTTTGTGAAATTTGAATTTTGAGGCTTTTTTGGCCCGATTGTCGACTACGTCGTCCGAACGACCCCGAATGACAAAATGGACTGCGCCGGCGCGTCCGGGACGGCGATTTTACCAGAACGTCGATTTTGCATAGGGAGGACACCCATTTTGTTACGACGCCGCGCGCGAGTAAATCACATATGGGCCTAAATCCCTAAACTAACGCACCCGAGCTCTGCCTCCCTTCCCTCTCCCGTTCGCGTGCCTGACATTTCTCTCTCGGTCTCGAGCCAACCGGCTCGTCCTCCTCCACGCGAGAGAGAGTTGACTTCTCATTCGTCCTTGCCCGACATTTTCTGCCCGCGACCCTCCTTCACGAAGCCGTGCCAGTTTCCTCGGGCTATAGTTTGACTCTGGGAAGCTTGCTCCCTGGTACACTTGAGTGGCAAACTCTCCATTCTTCCCGATACTTTCCTCGTTGCCACAGGCTCGCCACTTGGTCCTGGATGTTTCGATTGCTTCGCCTTCTGTGAGCAGGGGATGCGGCTTTTTTTTTGGCCCGGTTCGAGTA